CTTTGAAAAATTCTTTGATTTTTATTATAGATCGAATGTTGAGCTGAATGTCGATTGTCTAGCTCGACATAAGAAATTATCGAATGTCTAGCTGATTGTTGATTGTCTAGCTCAACATTCACTTTGAGGATACTTTGATAATTATATCACGTCGAATGTTGAGCTGAATGTCGATTGTCTAGCTCGACATAAGAAATTTTCGAATGTCTAGCTGATTGTTGATTGTCTAGCTCAACATTCACTTTGAGAATTGTGTGATTATTATTATAGATCGAATGTTGAGCTGAATGTTGATTGTCTAGCTAGACATTGAATGTCGATTGTTGATTGTTGATTGTTTAGCCAAGTTATTGTACATAATGTTCTTACCGTATAATGACAAATAAAAGTGTATGTAATATCAAATTTAAAATCCTTGTTCCATCCACTAACTCTTAGGTGTTTAATATTTTCCCACAGTTAGCCGTACCTTTAAGCTCAACGCATTTAAATAGAAACATGGTTCGTAAATAAAGTTATTTGCACATATTTTCTTACAATAAGATGGTTTATAAAAATTAGAATGCATGACCACTTTTGAACATTGGCCGCTTATATTTGTGATGAAAGGCAAAATCTAACCACCTTCAAATTGTGTGTTTTTATTCCTATATTTAAGTACATATACTAATACAAATGTATACGGTTTTAAACATGTTTTGAAGCACGTATAATATTGATAAAGTATTTTACAAGTTTCCTTGTTCCTATTTTTTCCCCTGTATCACTTCGAATAATTGTTAATTTCATATCTATAAAAATGTACATTGTATATAAAATGGATAACATAAAAATGCATATTGTCAACACTGTAAAACAACTTTATTTCAAAATATATATCGATGTTTTTGTTGGATTTTTAATCACACCGAAATTGTAAAGATCATCCGGCGACTTTTAAGATTAACTGATGGAGGAAAGACTCGGGTGCTACTTCGTTCATTATGCCATGCACGAGAGAACCACTGACCTTCCGTAAGCTAGTTAGATGGCTTCCTCATATGAAAAAATCCAAAGTCCTTTATGGAATTCGAACCCATAGTGGTGAGGGACAAGCGATTTAAAGTAAACAACCTGAATCAATTACAAATGACCGTTGGGAGCGAAACAATATCCCTTTAACAGATGCTGAAGCGCATTATATGTCATTACATATCTATTGAATTTAATTTTAAATTATAAATGACCTTTTATTTCTATTGCTCCTTTACGATCGGTTTATTAAAGATATGATAGGAAAAACATATATATTTCAACCATTTTGTATACTGAAATACACATGAAAAAGATTAGAATAAAATGATATTCGTGTATCCCCTTTGAGACTTTGATTTATTTTTTAATAAAACAATAATTTTAGTTATCCGTTACTCTTTTGGTAATGACAAATATTAACAAAGGTTTAAAGTAACATTTCTAATAGTAGTATAGTAAACTTTTTTGTTGTCCACAACAGTTTTATTTAAACAATATTTTCAACCTGTGTTCTTATCGATATTTGCTCCTGGTTTTTTTACAGAAATGGTAAATATTTAGTGAACATTCGTATAAAGGTTTTGAATTTTACAATCATGTATGGTATAAAATGAATGAATAATGTTTATTTATGTTTACTATATATGTTGATGTTTAGTATTACATTTCATAGACATGCATTTTGAGAGGACTATGTAGTGACTTTTATATTTTGCTTTGATATAGTCAAACCCTTGCGAAAGACATCTTACATAAAGAATGTTTTCCTCATCAAAGACCACCAATTAATGTACCAGTGTGAATAAAGATAAAATAACATAAAGTGTTTGGATCAATTTCCTGTTTTTTTTATGAACCAAACTCCCTTTTCAAAAACTGGATTTTATATACAGAGAGCAGGCTTTATTCTGTAAAGTCTTCGAGAGTGGTCAATGGTTTCACAACAAAACTTTGGAGTGTCTATAAATTGTTAAAATGTGAAAATACAATGGTACATATTTTGTTCTGTTCAGTAAAAGTGTACATTTTCGATATATGTATGATTTAACATGAGTTAAATGCAAATAACAACTAAAAAAGATTTACATGCTGCAAAATAATTACAACCAATTCATTAGATAAAATAAGAAACAAATGTTAACCATTTGATTCTTTTGAAGATTTGTCTGTTTTATATTGACATTCGAGCAACCGTATAATTTATAATGTATATTACAACTAGTAAATGGTACTTTGGTTAACAAAAGACCATCAGAGGAGTAATTGTAAAACATCACAATTTGTTTGTTTTGTTGAAATACTAATCTTTAAAAAAAACACATATGAATACAAAACGTATACCTGTAACTAAATGATTTAATAATGTCACGTACCTATCTGTTATTGAATTTTCCATTTTAAACAAAGATTCTGAATGAAATATCGTTACATATTGATTTCTCCGGACACCAGTTACAGAAAGTCCATCAATTAACGGATACAAAAAAAAAGTACTTAGAAATAATATAGATCGTAATTGAACGTTTTGTAGCATAACAATACTTTTTTGAGTCCATAATTATTGGTAAAAAGCATAAGAACATAATATTGAAATTGGAACTATTTACTGTAACTTGGGCTAATGGGTATTAAAGCAGTAATTGTGTGATCGATTGTCAAATATCACGATTTATTTGTTGTAATAAATACCTTCTAAAATAGATTAATCATATGAATACAAATCGTCTTTAATTGTTCAAAATGTTTGATACAGTTACTATATGCTCAACTCAATATCAATAAAACTGTCTTGATATAGGACAGATATTTTAAAAGATATTCTTTCTATATTTGTATTACTTTCCTACATTTAAATCTTACTTATTTTCATATAATTGAGATAGTGTTTTGTTATTGTTATTAAAATCGTCCGATCAATATACGTTATGTTAATTTATGTTTTGCGTCATAAAAAAGCGATCAAAGGAAAATGAAAAGGTTTAAAAAATTGTAGTAAAAGTATTTACTACACCCGTAATATCACATTAACAATATGTTCTAATGAGAAATCCACAAAATAATGACATCGTGAACCCCACAACTACTTTTTGCTGGAACATATTTTTTTTTGTTCAACTAACTAAACATCTTGCAAAACGTTCTAATTTCGTGACCTTAACTTAATACCCTTACTGACTGTGCTCAATAGTGTATTGATGAAAAATATTAAAAGAAAAATAAATTGAATATTGCGGTAAAAAGATCGACTAAGGTGTGATATATTTAGCTTGCAATAAATTCATATTGATAACTTATATTGGTATGTTACATATGTCGAAATAACATTTGCATATATGTCAAATTTTAATGATAAATCAGTGTGTAGTCTTCAAGTATAAAAAGCAGAACCCGAAGCAAGATCTTGTTGAAAACTCGTGCTTGCTAAACATAATTATTTTAAATACGGTAGGTTTATCAAATCGAACATTTCCTTTTAATTTAATATTTTGATGAATACATATTTTTCAAATTAATTATTTACATACTATGTTCGTGTACTTTTTATTGATTAAACACCCCTATACTGCAGTTTAAACGAATATTTAGGGCGATTAAAAACAACGGATTAATATAAGTGTCCTTAATTTTATTTGTTTAATTTATTCTAAAATTCAATAATAGATCCCCTACACTAACAAATAAATTCAATTGTTACATTAAAAAAACTTGTCGATAATTTACTCTCAGATTAATGTTTAACTACGCGTACAGTCATAAAGTTATATGAAAGGTTTGCTGTTATGAAGAAAATAATAACAACAAAAACATCCTGACTTATTAAGTTAGAAACATCTGCAAACATAAGACTTATCCTTTTCATACAATGTTGTTGTTGTTCGTGTGTTAAAACATTATGAACCTTCATTACATAAGTTAAATACCTATTTTACCAGATTATATAATTTATCTTACATTAAATACAAAGAAATACCATGTTATTTTAAATATAGTAAATTAATAATAAAACTTTAACTGTTTTTGCTTGAGATATATACCAATTATTTACTAAATGGAGTTTAATATTTAGCTTGAAAATAATTATAGAAGATAGCTAAGCTTTATGTTAAGTCTGTTTAATATCAAATGGACCTGTTTTTTTATGTTAAGTCTGATTAATATCAAATGGACCTGTTTGGGAGGGAAGATAAAATATTTTTTAATTTCAATGTACAATGTATACATTTAATATGATCACTACCTTTAAAAACATAAAGGTAAAAAGACGCAAACAAAATTCAATCTCTACAGTTTAAATGTAATACTTTTACAAACTATTTGAAGATGAAAGTTTAATACGATTTAAATATCGTTTCCCTTTCAATACATTTTAGTAAGTAAATAGTTTACATTAAATTAACTTTGTTATCATAATATTTAAACTATAATAGCTACGAGTACATAGCAAAACAACACATATTTTCAATAATATTGTCGAATTTTTTAAAGTTTTAATACTGTTTATTTTGGGGTTTAAATTGTATCTGCTCATAAAGATAAAAATTATAATATCCTGATGTAATGAAATGTACTGTTTTCATGACATTTATGGATAATATCAGAATAAAACGTTAGTGTTGATATTTTATTTAGATTGTCAGGGGCTTATTTGAAGATGAGAAATCAAACGTAACATACAATAATAGTTGGATAATGATGATGATGATGATAATAATAATTATTATTATTATTATTTGTCCAAATTGTATTATGAGATGTTGTTTGTTTTTATTGTTGTTGTTGTTGTTTTTGGCTCCTGAAATACCTTTGCAAGTATGATAAATAGTGAAATATAGTGAAGTATTATATAATTCTAAGCAACATTTATCTGAAATATTAAACAATGTCCTATGCAGACGTAACAATTACCAGTAATAATTTGTGAGTCCAAAAAAAGGGAAGAAAAAAATAATTCTATAAAATATGAACAAAACTAAATATTTACTGACCAAAATAATATTAATCCTTCTATGCAGCTTAATGGCGTTGCTACTCTATAAAATTATCCACCAGATTTAAACAGACGACAGTTAGAATCAGACGAAATCACACAAAATAGTCCGCTTATAATGTATATATTGCTAAACCCATGAATAGAATAGATACGTCCTTACATCTCCAACTAAAGTTTTTACTACTTCATACAGCGTATACCTATCGATAGGGAAAAAACATACAAAGAAAAAGAGAAATCGCGTTGCTTTCTTTTGAATACTGACAATGGTACAGATTTAAATAAACTTAATCTACTGTATGAAAAAGGTGTATTTGTTAGTGAAGTGTACATTTGTATTTGTTATATATGTAAGCATTTTTTAAAGACGACTGTAATACTCGTATTGTGCTAAAATTAGAATGAAGAAAAAACTCTGATCACGATACATTTTAAATTAAACAGACCCTGTATAATTCAGATTTAATTTTTTAGTTGACGCACGTAGTAATAAACAGTACTGTAATGCTTTTAAAGGGAGATTTCGCTATAAGGAAATATTGGGCCAATGCTCAGTGAAATGATATTATTTGAAATCCGTTTAATTAAGGTTGCTCTTGCTATATTATATAGAGCTGGGAACTTTTTGGTATGGTAATATCAGAGAATATCGATAGTTCAAATAGCTTAAAGCGACATGAAGACGACATTATCTTTAGAAAAGCTGCGGTCTCACTTACTCCCGGCAGAGCCCAGGACCATCCCAGAAAGTTACCGGGATGATCCGGGACGATCCGGGGTGAAATTATTGTTGCGGTCACACTAACCCCGGCAGCACTACGGTAGTTCCCAACTAACCACCCAGGATGCGCTCCGTATCATCCAGGCAGAGCCCAGGTGAAGCTACGGTTCAGAGCCCCGGCAGAGCCCAGGACGATCCAGGCAGAGCCCCGGTAGAACCCCGGTGGATTGAAAACGCGCGAAAATGATAACATTGATAAATAAGTTTTATTTAATATAATATCTATTGTTCCAGAATAATTCATGATGATTTTCTGAAAAATCCTTATGCCAGACTGGATAGAAGGGAAATGGGAAGGGTTTTAATACAAACAAGTGCAATTATCAAGTCCATGAAGTTGGCACAGAGATCGACATTAAACATTCAGCTCGACATTCAACTTATCACTGTTGAGCTGGTATGGGAAACTGGCAAGACATTCAGCAGAACATTCAGCTCGACATTCGATTTATCACTGATGAGCTGGGATGTGAAGCTAGCTAGACATTCAGCAGAACATTCAGCTCGACATTCGTTTCTTATATTCTTTTTGAATGTCGAGTTGGGATGTGAAGCTGGCTAGACATTCAGCACAACATTCAGCTCGACATTCATTTTTTTCTATTTTTGAATGTTGAGCTGGGATGTGAAGCTGGCTAGACATTCAGCACAACATTCAGCTCGACATTCGTTTTAAGTCTATTTTTGAATGTCGAGTAGGGATGTGAAGCTGGCTAGACATTCAGCACAACATTCAGCTCGACATTCGTTTTTTTCTATTTTTGAATGTTGAGCTGGGATGTGAAGCTGGCTAGACATTCAGCACAACATTCAGCTCGACATTCGTTTTTTTTATATTTTGAATGTTGAGCTGGGATGTGAAGCTGGCTAGACATTCAGCACAACATTCAGCTCGACATTCGTTTTTAGTCTATTTTATTTTTGAATGTCAAGCTGGGATGTGAAGCTGGCTAGACATTCAGCACAACATTCAGCTCGACATTCGTTTTTTTCTATTTTTGAATGTTGAGCTGGGATGTGAAGCTGGCTAGACATTCAGCACAACATTCAGCTCGACATTCGTTTTTTAGTCTCTATTTTGAATGTCGAGTTGGTATATGAAACTGGCTCGACATTCAGCACAACATTTAGCTCGGCATTCGTTTTTTTTTTCTATTTTTGAATGTTGAGCTTGGATGTGAAGCTGGCTAGACATTCAGTACAACATTTAGCTCGACATTCGTTTTTTTTCTATTTTGATTGTTGAGCTGGGATGTGAAGCTGGCTAGACATTCAGCACAACATTCAGCTCGACATTCGTTTTTTTTTCTATTTTGAATGTTGAGTTGGGATATGAAGCTGGCTAGACATTCAGCACAACATTCAGCTCGCCATTCGTTTTTAGTCTATTTTTGAATGTCGAGCTGGGATGTGAAGCTGGCTAGACATTCAGCACAACATTCAGCTCGACATTTGTTTTTTTGTCAATTTTTGAATGTCGAGCTGGAATGTGAAGCTGGCTAGACATTCAGCACAACATTCAGCTCGACATTCGTTTTTAGTCTATTTTTGAATGTCGAGCTGGGATGTGAAGCTGGCTAGACATTCAGCACAACATTCAGCTCGACATTCATTTTTTTTCTATTTTTGAATGTTGAGCTGGGATGTGAAGCTGGCTAGACATTCAGCACAACATTCAGCTCGACATTCGTTTTTTAGTCTATTTTTGAATGTCGAGCTGGGATGTGAAGCTGGCTAGACATTCAGCACAACATTCAGCTCAACATTCGTTTTTTTTCTATTTTTGAATGTTGAGCTGGGATGTGAAGCTGGCAAGACATTCAGCACAACATTCAGCTCGACATTCGTTTTTTTATATTTTTGAATGTTGAGCTGGGATGTGAAGCTGGCTAGACATTCAGCACAACATTCAGCTCGACATTTGTTTTTTGTCAATTTTTGAATGTCGAGCTGGAATGTGAAGCTGGCTAGACATTCAGCACAACATTCAGCTCGACATTCGTTTTTAGTCTATTTTTTAAATGTCGAGCTGGGATGTGAAGCTGGCTAGACATTCAGCACAACATTCAGCTCGACATTCACTTTTTTTTCTATTTTTGAATGTTGAGCTGGGATGTGAAGCTGGCTAGACATTCAGCACAACATTCAGCTCGACATTCGTTTTTAGTCTATTTTTTAAATGTCGAGCTGGGATGTGAAGCTGGCTAGACATTCAGCACAACATTCAGCTCGACATTCATTTCTTTTTTCTATTTTTGAATGTTGAGCTGGGATGTGAAGCTGGCTAGACATTCAGCACAACATTCAGCTCGACATTCGTTTTTTAGTCTATTTTTGAATGTCGAGCTGGGATGTGAAGCTGGCTAGACATTCAGCACAACATTCAGCTCGACATTCGTTTTTTAGTCTATTTTTGAATGTCGAGCTGGGATGTGAAGCTGGCTAGACATTCAGCACAACATTCAGCTCGACATTCGTTTTTTGTCAAATTTTGAATGTCGAGATGGAATGTGAAGCTGGCTAGACATTCAGCACAACATTCAGCTCGACATTCGTTTTTAGTCTATTTTTGAATGTCGAGCTGGGATGTGAAGCTGGCTAGACATTCAGCACAACATTCAGCTGGACATTCGTTTTTTTTTCTATTTGGAATGTTGAGCTGGGATGTGAAGCTGGCTAGACATTCAGCACAACATTCAGCTCGACATTCGATTTTTGCTATTTTTGTATGTTGAGCTGAGATGTGAAGCTGGCTAGACATTCAGCAAAACATTCAGCTCGACATTTGTTTTTTGTCAATTTTTGAATGTCGAGCTGGAATGTGAAGCTGGCTAGACATTCAGCACAACATTCAGCTCGACATTCGTTTTTAGTCTATTTTTGAATGTTGAGCTGGGATGTGAAGCTGGCTAGACATTCAGCACAACATTCATCTCGACATTCGTTTTTTTTCTATTTTTGAATGTTGAGCTGGGATGTGAAGCTGGCTAGACATTCAGCACAACATTCAGCTCGATATTCGTTTTTTGTCTATTTTTGAATGTCGAGCTGGGATGTGAAGCTGGCTAGACATTCAGCACAACATTCAGCTCGACATTCATTTTTTTTTACTATTTTGAATGTTGAGCTGGGATGTGAAGCTGGCTAGACATTCAGCACAACATTCAGCTCGACATTCGTTTTTAGTCTATTTTTGAATGTCGAGCTGGGATGTGGAGCTGGCTAGACATTCAGCACAACATTCAGCTCGACATTCGTTTTTTTTCTATTTTTAAATATGGAGCTCATATGTGAAGCTGGCTAGACATTCAGCACAGCATTCAGCTCGACATTCGTTTTTTTTCTATTTTTTGAATGTCGAGCTGGGATGTGAAGCTGGCTAGACATTCAGCACAACATTCAGCTCGACATTCATTTTTTTTTCTATTTTTGAATGTTGAGCTGGGATGTGAAGCTGGCTAGACATTCAGCACAACATTCAGCTCGACATTCATTTTTAGTCTATTTTTCAATGTCGAGCTGGGATGTGAAGCTGGCTAGACATTCAGCACAACATTCAGCTCGACATTTGTTTTTTGTCAAATTTTGAATGTCGAGATGGAATGTGAAGCTGGCTAGACATTCAGCATAACATTCAGCTCGACATTCGTTTTTAGTCTATTTTTGAATGTCGAGCTGGGATCTGAAGCTGGCTAGACATTCAGCACAACATTCAGCTCGACATTCATTTTTTTCTATTTTTGAATGTTGAGCTGGAATGTGAAGCTGGCTAGACATTCAGCACAACATTCAGCTCGACATTCGTTTTTTTTCTATTTTTGAATGTTGAGCTGGGATGTGAAGCTGGCTAGACATTCAGCACAACATTCAGCTCGACATTCGTTTTTAGTCTATTTTTGAATGTCGAGCTGGGATGTGAAGCTGGCTAGACATTCAGCACAACATTCAGCTCGACATTCATTTTTTTTTACTATTTTTGAATGTTGCGCTGGGATGTGAAGCTGGCTAGACATTCAGCACAACATTCAGCTCGAGATTCGTTTTTAGTCTATTTTTGAATGTCGAGCTGGGATGTGGAGCTGGCTAGACATTCAGCACAACATTCAGCTCGACATTCGTTTTTTTTCTATTTTTAAATGTGGAGCTCAAATGTGAAGCTGGCTAGACATTCAGCACAGCATTCAGCTCGACATTCGTTTTTAGTCTATTTTTGAATGTCGAGCTGGGATGTGAAGCTGGCTAGACATTCAGCACAACATTCAGCTCGACATTCATTTTTTTTCTATTTTTGAATGTTGAGCTGGGATGTGAAGCTGGCTAGACATTCAGCACAACATTCAGCTCGACATTCGTTTTTAGTCTATTTTTGAATGTCGAGCTGGGATGTGGAGCTGGTTAGACATTCAGCACAACAT